GCCATTTTCATAGCAAATAACAGGAACTCTCCAGAAGGCTCCGTGTTGTGGAGCTGTCTGTGGTGCTGGACAAGAAGCTGTGGGAATCTTGCACATGCTAGTGCCCATGTTATAGACTGTGCCTAGAGATGAGGCCCAGTTTATCAACCCAGGTCGTGTTTTTCTCCATCAGATTGGCCTGTAGCATGTCCGTGGGGGCATTTTCTTGATTAACTATTGATATGGGAGGGTGGGAGCCCACTGGAGAAGTGCCACCCCTGGTCAGGTGGTCCTGAGTTGTACAAGAAAGTAAGCTGAACAAGCAAGAAGCAAGCCAGTAGGCAATGTTCCTCCATAGTCTCTGTTTCGGTTCCTGCCTCCAGATTCCTGGCTCAAGTCCCTGCCCTGACTTCCCTTCGGCTACAACTCATTCTTATGAATAGCCCAATGGCCCCGGTGTGCCAGCTCAGCCAGTGAAAGCTGCAGACTTTCGCTTATTCCTGCAGGTAAGCTGTATCTCCTCAGATGGCATATTGAAGTCCTCACTCTGAATGTCTATGGATGGAGCCAGATTTAGACATAAGTCTCTGGAGATGAAATGAGATGGGCCATACTGGATTGTGGTGAGCCCTATGTCAGATAGGACTTGTGACCTTACAATGAAGTACAGCAGGCACAGAGGTGCACAAGTAGAGAAAGCCCTGCGATGACAGAAGATCCAGGTGATGCATCAAAAAGCCAAGGAATGCTAAAAGAAACTCACCAGCAAGATCCGAAACTCATTTTAAAAATTAAATAAATAAAAAGATAGAATACTCCCCCCCCCCAGAGCCTTCAGGCAGGGTATGGCCCCAGCAGCATCTTGACTTGGTGTCTAGACTCAAGAATTGTAAAAGAGTGGATGTCAGTCATCTGACAACCCCTCCTTAGACCTGTAGTTATTTATTATGATAACTGCAGGAAGTCACTATGCATTATGAGTGAGCCTCATTTCGAACCACAGAGCACTCATTTGTAGTAGCTCTTTATCTGGGATTCCCTTGCAGTTGATATATTTGGAGATCCTAATAAAGTTGCAAGGCTCAGAAAATTACAATGCTCAAACTCCTGCATGCCCAGCTTTCTAACTACCCACTCTAAAATCATTCCCCAGCCGCAGGGTTGCCCTCTCCGCAACTGCTTCATTTTCTTCATGACAGACACTGACCTCCACTGCAAATCATATTCTGTACCTTTTCTTCTTGCTGACTCAGTAGAACATGGGCCATGACAGTGGGGACTATTCTGAGACACTCACCAGTGCCTGAGAGCAGTTCCAACGGAAAGGCACGCACTCGAGAGTAATCCAACGAGAAATGAATGATCAGCAAGTAGCTACTGAGTAAACAGATGAAAGCCACATGTGCTGTCACTGCTATTCTCCAAAACGATGGCCATTCCTAGCATTCTTCGGAATGGAATAAGTACACCAGTGGAGAAAACCGATCTTTACACCAATGTCTAAAAGATAAAGTTTGTTTCTGGACACACAGTTCTTTGCTAAGGACTGCCTCCCTAATACAGAATGGGTGTATTACTAGAGGAGCGGCTGTTATCCAGCTTCCCACAGGGGATTCCTAATCTTGCAGCCCAGGCTGGGTAGGTGCTGAGTTTTCATCAATGCAACTGCACAGTGCTTTCCACTAGGGGGCAACCGAACAAAAGCAGAGGCTGAGAAGCAGTTAGCCTGAGTCTACTTGTGGTTGATGATCATGAATTCATGGCAATTATGATGCTCATTCTCCTCTCCAAAAGAACTGTCTCTCAAGATCACCCTAATTAAAAAGTGAGTAATGAGTACAGAAGTTCCCGCAGCACAAAAGACACTCACAAAACTCAGACATTTGAAGGCACTCAAAGAATGAAGATAACCCAGCATGTGTTCATCCCTTGATCTAAGCAAGGCTATAAAGGGTGGGAACAACCGGTTCTAACTGAGAGGCTACAGAGTCATTCTGCGGTCCAGCTAGGACACTGCATCTCCCTGTGTTTTTGTTCGTTCGTTTGTTTTGTTTTTTTGGTTTTTTTTGTTTGTTTGTTTGTTTGTTTGTTTGTTTTTTTCAAATAAAGGGACAATCTCTGCTCTCTCACAGGTGTGGGAAGAGCCAGGTGACTACCACCAGACTTGCCAGAGAATCAGGGCCTTGGAAGTGTGACACAAACCACTGTTTCATAGTCAGTTTACACATTTGCCTTCCAGGATAGAGGAGGATGTGTTAGTTTGCCTGCTGTGATGGTTTGAATAAGAATGACCCCCAAAGGCTTAGGCACCAGGGAGTGGCACCAGTTGAGAAGGAATAAGAGGCGTGGCCTTGTTGGAGGAAGTGTGTCACTTGAGGCCAGCTTTGAGGTTTCAAAAGTCCCAAGCCAGGCCCAGTGGCTCTCTCTTCCTGCTGTCTGCAGATCCGGATATAGAACTCTCTGGTATTTCTTTTTTGTTTTGTTTTGTTTTGGTTTGCTGTTGTTGTTTTGTTTTGTTTTACTTTGTTCTTTTTTTATTATTAAGAAATTTTCTATTCATTTTACATACCAACCACAGATCCCCCTCCTCCCTCCTCCTGCCCCCCAGCCCTTCAGTACCATGTCCCCCTATACGCTGCCATGCTCCCCACCAAGATGATAATGGACTAAATCTCTGAAGCCTCAAGCCAGCCCTAGTTAAATGCTGTCCTTTATAAGAGTTGCTGTGGTCATGGTGTCTCTTCACAGCAATAGAACACTGACTAGGACACCTGCCTTGGAGTGAGGTGTTATCATGTGACTAAACAACAGCCAATGGGAGGTAAGTGGGAAAATACCTGCTTTCTCTCTGTTCACTCCAAGTCTAGGTTCAATGTTCCAGGTGCCACTTTGACTTTGAGATGGGACTCATGTACCAAGGATGCACATGCAAAGAGATAGCACCTGATGGACCATGAACCACAACACCAGTTCTGGGCTTTTTATTGCAGACTTAATGTGAGGAAGATAAAGTTTTGCTTCCTTTAGGTCACTTTTTATTGGGAATTTTCAGTTACATCCTCTGAACTTGACCCTAATTATCTCCAAGATGGCTCTAAGACTCAAGATAGTTTATATTCTTGGATCTGGATTCTCAGATTATCTTTGATGATCTACAAGATCCAGAGATGATAACTAAGTCTCAAAAGACATCTAAAGGTCAATTTTTCTTGTAGACCCTTTGAGCCTCTTAAAACAGACAGTGACCTCATGCTGTCTAGCCTCTAGGAATTGAACCACTGTCCAGGTCCAAGGTTCACAAACAGGCTGCGGTGTCCGGTCACATCCCCTTGGATAGGATGGATAGAACAGTGGTTCTTACAGTGTTGTCTCCAAGTGGCAGTGACTGTTGAGCCCAAACTGAGCCATGCTGCATCAGAAACTGTGCAGATGGGTCCAGAAACATAGGGTGGTCCTACTTCAGCCAAAAGCTTGAGAACCTGGATTCCTGAATGGAATTTCACTTGTTGTTACTAAAGAACAACCAGGAGGTACCTAGGAAAAACCGGAGCTCAGGGACTTCCTAAGGACATGGGAAGGAAAAGGCTGGAATAGTCCTCAGGGTTGAGGACAAAGGTACTTAATTAACTCCCATGAACTAAGTAGTCTGATATTTACATTTGCCAAGAAATTCCTCCGTGATACGGAACTCAAGATTTCCAACTTAACGTTTGGCTCTTCGCCTGTGCTTCTTGAGTATGACCTTTAAGAATGAAATATGGAGCCTCCATTTGTCCTGATCAAATGATGACAGCTCTAGAAAGATCTGAGGGAGCAGCCAGCAGATTCTGACCCCCTGAGGGATTAACTTTCAGATCGAGGTGTCTGTTAAATGAGTCATGGAGCATGGCCCGTCAATCTCCCAAATGGGGAAAAGGGCAAGTGCAGCCTCGAAAAGCAGACGTGCCAGCCTCCCAGACACTGGGGTAAGAGGCCTCCAGGGCCTATCAGGTGGAAGGCTGACATTTGTTGACTTTCAGTTTATCTCATTGGCTTCAGTTCAGAGTGGTCTGGCAGCTGGAGGGAGCTGGCTCTGTAATGAATATAGAGCCCATTGTGGTCAGTATTTCCTATTCTCAGGCCTCCTTAATACTTGGGAATAATTTACCAATCTCTGGATTTGAAACCCTGACCTCCTCTCAGAAGGATCCAGGAAAACAGGACACCAGCAGGTAGAACAAAGGTCAGAGGAGGCTTTGACAGAAATGTACAACCAAAGAGAGAATGCTACATGTGGGATGCTTTGCCAGTGAAATGTCTCAAGCCATGGCCTTCAGAGGCAGTGACAAACGCAATGTCAAGACCCCAGCATAAAAGACTCATCACTGGGATGGTGGCAGCTACTGTGACAAAAGCCTGGGCATCACTTTTGTGGCATGACACGTAGCTTCAGGTAACTCTTACTGTTTCTTCACCCTGAGAGAATTCTATGACTCTTTTTCTGACTTTCTGTTGCTGGCAATTAAAATATGACTAACGCAGTGAGCAGGAGAGTCACAACAATCAATAGGCCCTTAGGGAAATGAGAGCTTCTTAGAATCCGTTACCTGCTGTGGCAGGGGTTGGTGGCTCTGACTCTCCAGGAATGTTGTGGGTGGGACACTCACAGCCAAGGGCACACCTGGGCTGAGCTGAAACATTCCCTGAAGGTGAGCTTTCAGAATCCGGGGGCTGCTCCCACCAAACTACATAAAGGTCATGAGGCATCAAAGACTTTAGGCTAAGCCATTTCCGTTTTCAGACATCCAAGTAAACCCAGCTCCACTCACATCACAGGGATGTCCTTTGAAGGCCAGGGTTTCTTTATTTTCCTCCTTCATCTTTAGCTAACTCAATCCCATTCTCACCCCTCACTTCTAGAATCCAAAAGGCCATGAGGCCTTGCAGACTACACTACTCTGGGATAATCAGATCTGGGGGGAGTCCTCTCCCTTCCTGACTCTTCCTTACCCACCACTTTCAGCAATTTACAGACACCAAGAAAAATGATAAGACATTTATTGAATCATCTACAGCAGTTTGACATCCTTAAAATCCCAGATAAGGTGTGAGCACAGCGTTAATGGAGGCAGCGGTAGCAGTGAGGTCCGTGGGATTTATCTTTATTGTGGGAAATTAAACCCAGACGCGTCCAGCTCGCAGGAGTGGGCCTGGAGCCACGTCTGGAGTACCAAGGGCTGAACCACTCCAGCCCTGACAGACGCAAAGCCTCAGAAGACAGACAGCAGACAAAACACACATGGCTGAGTACAGACACACCACAGGACCCAGAGTTCAAGGAGAGGGGAAAGAATGGGCATTTGGCCCACTTGAGGAACATCCCTTAGCCTTGAAGGATTTCTAGGCAGATGGCACAGAGGTGCTCGCTGCACCCCTAGAGCTCTCCCGAGCCTCACCTTCAAAGCAAACAGAACAACGTGAAGAAGATAAAGCTGGAATTCAATGTCCACCAGAGCCCCGTGGCCTCCCCCCCCCCCAGTGCTGGTGGTTTTACAAACGGGGTGATGGTTAACCCAGGAGGGCTCAAAGCAGTAGACTGATTGCAAGGGATACCTTTTGGGGGGTCTTTACCCTAAGAATGAGCACATAGCTGTGGTTTTTTTTCAGAGCTTGTAAACTGACAGGGAGCACTTCACTTCCACTTCATCCCTAGCTGGGGGTGGGGGGGCGGCGCAGATGATGATGTAACCATGGCCACACCATTGCAGATTAGGGGGTTGAGACTAAGTAAGCATGGAATCCCAGAACAGATGGAGAGGGCTAAGTTTGCTAGCAAGCATCCTTATACCACGCCAACTCCATTGCTTCTCCTGTATTGTATCGTGGACTCCTGGACTTTCTGCAGGTGCAGCCCCTCCTGCAAAAGGGACAGTGTACTCTACCACTGCTTGGAGTGTTACATCTGACTCACATGCAGGGCTGTGCAATACTGGTCGGGCTACATTCTCATTCAAAAACATGCTTGGCCCACCTGTTTCCTCAGGAGACCATGGGGAAGGTTTTACCCTTCAGATCTCCAAATCAATCCCAGCTCTAATAGTCTTTGAGTTTCCCCTTATAAGGATGAATCAAGGTCAAACAGCGGGTGATCAGCAAAGCTGAGGACCCCCAAGTCCCAGGCTTCCTGCTCAAGGCTCTTCCAGCTGGCTTCCAGGCTCCGTCGGCTCAAGTGGAATTGGCAGGGTCACAGTACTTGCTGCCTTCTCTTTGCAGGGGGCAGAGGGCACACAAGGCATTAAAAGTCTCTCACAGCTTTCCTTCCAAGGAAGAGAGGGTACAGGCCAAACAGAGGAGGCCCTGGTGCTGGGCGGCAGGTGCCAGGTTATTTCCACCACTGGGCCCTGATCAAGCTCCCCATCCCTGTCCCCAGAGAAGTCAGTTCAGGGAAGATGGGGTTAGGAAAGGACTCACTAGGGCTCCTGAGCCGTCAAGGAGGACCTCATCGCTGCACACCGAGGTGGAAGTCAGATCTTGAGCATTGGTGGATGCCAGTCTCAAAACTGCAACACCTCCAAAGCCCTCTGACTTGCTGACAGCCTAAGCATTCCTGCTCTAGAATCCCACTTTATGAGGACTAGACCCTTTTCGGATCCTTCCTGCTCCCCCTGTAGCTGGACAGTTGTGACAGCAAACAGGACAAGACAAGGATGCCCTACCCCCTAAACTATGTGGTCTGTGAGATTTGGCCTTCGGGGTTTCATAGAGCAAGACCCCACTTCCCAGGAATGATCCTCTACAGACCGGGTGCCCCTTGGATCCGCTCTGCTCCTGCCTCAAGATTTCTAAGTCCATGAAGCCCTTTTTATCCACCAGATGGGATTTCTTAATCATTTTTTCCCCTTCTCTGGGTCCAGGCTGTAAAGCCTTGCCTGGGGCCCATTCCAAGGGAAGATGGTTGGTGTTTAGATAGAACCCCAGAGGTAAACTGGGGGGTACACACAAATCAGTAAGTCTTATTGCTTGCGCTATAGATGTAAGAGGGTCAAAGGGGAGGGGCGTTACCCAGCCTTGCGCTGTCCCTTCACTGCCTGTGGCCCGAGAGCCAGCCCCTCCTGGAACATGCAGAATCCTTCAGCTACACCTGCTCACAAGACTAGCAAAAATAGTAGTAATAATAACAATAATAATAGAAATCCTTCAGACAGAAAAACAGGCAAGAGGAACTGGAACTTGCAGGAGGACGCAGGCCCAGGGCTCAGGAAGCAGTGAGGGCTCAGGGTTGACCTGTTTTTTGCTGTTTTGCAGTGATGCAACTAGACAGTCACAGTTTCTTCTTCCACAGTGAAGCAGACCCATGGGTGGGGGTGATGACAAGCGAATGGGATGGGGTTCATAGCCCAGGGGCCGCACCTTGGATGGAGGGTGCCACAGGCTACCTGTCTCTGCCAGGCCTAGAAGGCTAGCACGTCATATCTGAGGTCCCAGTCAAATGACCATGGCCTGAGCTTCCCTCTACTCTAACTTGCACTGTGGTATCCAAATGGGAAAATACACAGAACGTCATTCCCCTCACCACGCACATGCACATGCGTGCACACACGTGCGTGCACACCCCTTCAGTCTGAGCCGATGGGAATCCTGAACCATGGCTTCTTCTAAATAGCTTGGGCTCCCTAGTAGTGTCCAAAGTGCAAGGTGATCAACTGATTCTTGTTTGGCTGATAACCTGGTTCTCAGAACAGGGGAGGGGATAGGAGGGGGAATAAGGTGTGGGGTAAAGGGCCAATGTACACCCAGTGGCTGGTCCAAGCCACTCAATGTTTCTGGGAAGGAGCAAAGAGGTGCTTTCCCCTTCTGGCTTTGCCAAAGACCCAAAAAACTGAATTCACTGGTCAAGAACGCAGAGCTGGTCTCTAACACCATATCAACTAGAACCTTCTCCAGCCTAACGGCTCTTCCAGGCTCACTGTTTCGAATCTCCCAGAGCTCCTTCTACTTAATACAACAGCAAGCAAGGCAGCTTCCCACCCTCCCCATGCAATCCAGAGCACAGTCATGAACAAGTCCACAGGGACAGGGACAAAAACAAGCATCAACGTGGAAAGAGCTGGGCCACGTGGCCCCCGTGGCACTACTTTTTTCCCTTCTCTCTTCCCAAATCTGGATGCGGCCTTGTTTTAAAGTCGTAGGTTATGGCTGTGCAATGTACAGCTGGAGAGCCGGGATGGGCACTAGGGAGAGCCACCACTCCTCCATCAGTCACGTCTGCTCATGCGCATGACAGACACAGCATCCCCTCCAAACACTCTACGAGGCCCACCAGTGATTCAAATGCCAAGGGCACATGGAGGAAGTCTTGCAGACCACTAAACCACTGAGTTTAGTCATTGAGTCCAGGCTGGGGGCAGCATCTACAGTTCTCTGTCATCAGGAGAGGTGGGGCTGTGGGGAGCCCTGGACCCAGGACTTGGCTCATGGACATTGAAAGTTGCTTCAGAACCCACTGATATCACTGTAAGGTGGCTGGTTCATTCTAGACATGGCTTTGACTTCAGGGGAAATTGACAGGGGAGAGCTAGGGGCTCTCTGTGGGTGTCATGGCTGGAGAACAGCTTCTTCAGACCATCCATTGTGGGCAAGGAGGGTAGAAATGAAGTTATCACATGATCAAGTCTTCAGTCAGGGCACAGTCAAGGACATAAGATCTTCAGCTATCCCATCTTCTTCCCAAATGCATCTGCATTTCTGCCTCTCAGCTCTTACATCAAATGAAAAGCACCAGAACCTTCCCTGACCCTCACCCCAACTTAAGTCTTTGAAAGAGCCCTGTAACCCTCCCATCATCCAGGAGCTGAGCACCTGGACAACCTAGATGTCAGGTAAGCAAAAAGAGCCTCAGGTTGACCCACTCCAAAGGATGCTCTGGCCACTAAGCTGCATCCCTGGCCAACTGCAGGACTTGGTACAGGCTAAGAAAGGCCCACATCCAAAGTCAATTTAGTGAAAGACTTCTGGGGTGGGCACTACCCCAACCTCTCCAAAGCAGGCATGTTTCAGCCTCAGCTCACAAGGCCTTGCACCCGGGATCAGGCCATCACTGAGGCTGGCCTTGACACAGTAGGTCAAGCTGGAACCTGGCAGAGGTGAGCAAGGGCATGGACTGGGGGAGATAGGGGGCAACTTTCCAAATTTGAGGTGTATTTACATGTCACATTGGGCTCAAATGGACCACAGTAGGTGGGACCCAAACAAGAGGTGCGATATCAGCCTACACCCTATCTCTCTCTTCACCCTTGGGGAGGAGCCCAGCTTCCTACCCAGGGCCTGCCCAAGGAGAGGGGAGAGGCACAAACATGCGCAGGCGCCGGCCTGCAGCCCCGGCCTGTGCGGAAGGGAGATAGGGCTCAGGTGGCCAAGTTGTCAGCCGGGAGGCTGGACATGCGGAGCTGGGAGCTGCTCTTGCTCAGAATGGACAGTTGGGTCCCTCCATTCACTCCACTGCTGGCCAGGGACGGGTGCCGGTGCTTGAAGTCCATCGTGAAGTAACGGTTCACCTTCCAGCTCCGCCATTTTCTCTTAATCTCTGCCTGTACCTGCAATGAGCAACATGGATGTGACTTCCCAGTGAGCATCTTCTCTGCCCCGGCCTGGCACTTTCCCAGCTGCCATGGTGACTCTCCACCCATCATCTCCCACTCCCCAGCTGTAGCCTGCAGCTTTGTCCTAGTCTGTCTTGGCAAAGCCCTCAGGCAGCTTCCTGTTGTCTGGGCCTTTCAACGACCAGTCCTTTGGAACTGTCAAGCGCGCTCTCCTAGCAACCCCTTGAAGCAAATAGATCAAATAAAGATCATCACCCTTGTGGACCACTGTGGGATGCATATGAGATTTACTCAAATAACTTGAAATATCCCAGATGCCCAAAGCCCATGAATGGTGATATCAGCATCTCTGGTTAAGTCCTAGACATCCACAGCTTTGAACACTTCCAAGGTGAGAAGATTTCTGAGACAGAGAGTTAGAAAATAGCCCATGCCTCTTGGCAAACCCCCTGTAGCTCTGCATATAGTAAATGGTGGCCGTGCCAAGAAAACATAAGCCTCCATATGGCGCTTCAGCCAGGCCCCTGGATGCAGTATACAAGCTGCACGACTAGAAGATGCTCCCATCTCCACTTTCTCCACTTCGTTCCTCCACTCCCCTGGCAGACTCCTGACAAGCTGCCCATGCTCCCACCTCTGGCTCTCCTAGGATCTTTAAGCAAGGCCCTCTCTGGGATCTCGTGATCTGTTATAATCTGATCTACACTGACCTTCTGATCATGGAGGCTTAATCGACTTGAGTCTTAGATGCAAACAAGAGGGAGAGCCTGCTGAGGCCAAGATCTTTTCACTAAGACCTCACTCCACTTGCAAACTCATCCCACATAGCCAGTGCCCACCCCTTCCCTGGCACCTCTATCCTGGGCTCTGCTCCAGAACATTACCCCAGTAGACCAGAAAAGGAGCCCCAAATGGTAGCTCTGGGAATGAAACACCTCAGGAAGGCTCCAGGTTTCTTCTCAGGGTTTCTTTCAGATTCTCATAGGCTCTGTGCTAGCAGGGATGGTGAGGCTGTCTTGCTGGGGCTCGGCAGCTCTGCCCATCATATCCTGATGACCTATAGGTACTAACTCCTGCTCACTAAGGCATGTCTTTTGGAAAGAATGTGCCCTGGAATTGTGCTCTCAGCAGACATGATGCCGTCACCAACTGCACTCCACTCTGTCTTCGTTTTTGGCCTTGGTTGCAGAGTTGGAGTGATTCTGGAACCGGTGGGGGGATTCCAGGAGATGTTGGTACCACGTCACACTGGCACCTATGTCAACCTATCCTCAGTGCTGGGGACCTGGAAGATCCTATCTGAAGAATCTGCCCCCAGTCTCTCCCCACCAACCCCCGCCTTCACTGCTGAGAAAGGTGCAAAGACCGTGTCTTACCTCCCCGTTCAGGAAGCAGTAGAGTACGGCCACCACAAAGCCCTGGGAAGAGAACACAAACCACTGTAAGCCCACCAACAAGGGGTTTCCTCTGACACAGGAGTGGTAGTGGAAAAGACACCAGAAACAAGAAAAACATCAGTCTAGACAGGGCACACCTGCGCAAAACTCTATGGTAACGTGGAACACGTCCTGCTCCCTAAGACAGGCACTTCCACGAAGCCAGATGGCTGATAGACCCGTCCCCACGGACAGACATCTCATCTTGGATCTCACACTCACTGGACCAAATCCTTCCCATCACTGAAGACTATCTTCATCCCATTTCCTAGGGAAGCCACTTGCCCTTCTAAAGGAAGCCAGAATGTTCTCTGGGCTCTGCTCCTAGTCCTCAGGCTCCTGAGAGCAGGATTCCTTTAGAACAGACCCATATGATCTTTATCCATCACTACCCCCTGCTCTGCCCTCTCTTGGCAAGCCGCTTCTGTACACAGCAAAGCAAACCATGTGTGGTGAGTGCTTGGCAGAGAATGAATTTAGTTCTTCTAGACCAAACAAAGCAAGCTTTTCCTGAATGCTGAACACCAGGTCTGTAGGACCTCAGTGCCCTGGGCTGTCATTTGAAAATGTCAGAGGAATGATGGCTGGAATATGCCAAAAAACATAAAGATGGGAGCCAAGGGCTATAATTCCAGGGTCAGAACTTTTATCTACCATGCTCCCAGCCTTACCAGAGTAAGAATGTGAATCGGAGAAAGGGGCTTTGAATCAAAAGTCAAGTCAGTTGCACAGAGCATTCATTTTCTGACCATCAAACTCAAATGCCAGTTTAAACGGGTAGCTTAGGGAGAGATGCCCTCCCCGCTTCCAACCCACCACCATTAGTGCCTTCGTTCACTTCCTGGTTGTGATGCATACACTTCCTTATAGCCACCCACTCACTCCTGCCTGTACTATAAACTTGCTCTGTTCCTCTTCTTGTCCTGATACCCATTCATTTAAAGAGTGTCCAGGTACCTCCAGCCCCATTCAGTTCTCTGTGTCAGGCCCTAGACTGGGGTCCCCTGTGCCAGGGACTCAAGGTGGATAAGACAGAACTCCAGTCCTCATGTGGCTGGATGCATGGCTGAAGTTAGGATGTGGACACAGTATAAGGGTCTTAAAGTCATCCCATCTCCTGGGCTTTCTAGAGCGCTTTCATCTCAAGTCACTCAGGGGGACCTGGGTCAGGGTCCCCAGGCACAGTGACAGCCAGGCTTTATTGCATCTTAGAGCAGTAGAAAGGACCATAGAGGATGTGTGCTCTAGCACTCATGTCAGAGACAAACACTAAAGTCAAGGTTCATAGGGTTACAGAGCTGGCAGCAGGTCAGAGGTCAGGGTTTAGCTTCCAATGAGCTATGTGCTCTGCATGCACCATTGCCTACCTGGAAGGAGCCCAGCCCGAGCTCAAACACAAGTCGTTCCCTCTTGCTGACATTCTCTGGGGAGAAGGCGAATACTGTGTAGTGGATTCCAAACAGTGGGATGAGCAGCAAGGTGGAGCGAGCCAGCCGTCTGTCAGAAGAAAGCAAAATTCTGTTCAGGAGGCTGCAGGGCTTGGGAGCAGGGAGGGCAGAGGGCCTGTCACCAGCCCTGGTTAGCCCCCAGTGCCCCCTCCTCACAGATCCACTTAGCATCCTTTCCTGGTGCAAGGGGCTTGGGAATGAGGGAGCCAACTAGAGCTCAGGATTCCTAGGATGTTGTAAGGAGGCTTCCCCAGTCTGCTGGGCACTTAAGTCAGTATCCTACAGGGCCACTGAAAATGTATCCTTTATAGGGGTCCCCTTGAATCACGTGTAAAATCAGGATAGGATTCCAAAGTCTTGAGCCAAAGCATGCCTGTCCTGGCTCAGAAGGAGCTATGTGACCTCAAAAACAGCTGCCCAAAGACCCATGGAGATAGGGCTTTTCTGAGTCTAGGGATAGCTAGGGACATCGGGGGGAGGGGGGGCAGGCTGACAACCAGGAGGGAGGGTCCTAGACGGACCGTAGAGGAACTTGGGAGGGTCTCAAGCAAAGACCTGCTGGCTGAGCAGAAATTCTACCTGCCCCAGAACTGAGTCAAAGGATGAGGTCTGCCCTGAAGATGGATCCCACCACACCTCCTGGGCTCCTCTCCCGCTTTTAGCTCTTGCAATAGAGCCAAGAGTAGGGTGGGGCCCTGTTAGTACAGGGACAGAAGAGGTCCACAGTGAGAACAACAGGCACACGTGGGCTGCTTTGGAGGGAGTAAATTATCACAGGGGCTTCCCGGAGTGGGCCCCATCTCTACCCATCCCAGGACACTGGCCCCCTGTGAGCCTCCCCAAAGAGCCCAGCTCTCCTCTGCAGATGTTTTCCCCTCCGCTGTATCCAGCCCCCCTGGGACCATTGGCCTCGCCCTATCCAGTCACAGCTTAGCCCTCAGAAGTGGACAGTAAATATAAGGGTGACCATTTGGCTGGGAGCAATTCTACCATGTGCCCCACCTCTCCCCCTCCCAGTCCTTCTGGAAAAAAAAAAGCATTCCGCTGAACGTTGGACTCCAGCTTTCTAGAAAAGCCAAATAAATCCCTAGATTCTGAACAAGGCCCTTCGTGTCCTAGCTTCTATGAGAAGGGAGATGAGAAGGAGGAGGGGGGGAGAGGGAGAGGACGGGGGAGAAGGGGAGAGAAACAGAAGCTTGAGGAGATCTTTGGGAGAAGGTTCAGCCCAGTGAGGAGGAAGCCCACAATTGTGGGGCTCACGGTGCCCCCTTGCTCGAAGGCAGCTTCTTCTATAGTCACTGAAGGTCCCTAAACCAGGACAGGGCCAATGGGACCTGAGTGAGTCCCTGCAGTGAGCCCACATGGATTCCTACCAGTCTGTTTTCATCTTAGTGACCCTGAAGAGGGCCCCTCTTTTATCTGTTAGGTCTCACAGCAAGCACCTTCAGGCACGCAGTCAACACTGGCAATGCCTGTTCTGTGGGAGAGCAGCAGGGCTGCCCAGGCATACAAGCTAGAGTCCTTAAAACCCAACATCTCCTGGGCACCAGGTCCCACTTGCCTCTCGGTGCCCAGGATCTGGCACCAGAAAGCAGCAGGGTGTGTCTGGAGACAGAATGAGCTGGGAGATGGGCTTACAAAAGCACGTGCATGGCAGATCTGGGGGTCCTGTTGGGTCCTGGGCAGGCTAGGGCCCTGCTTTCCTCCTCCAGCTTGCCCTCTACAGTGGACCCATTCCAGGTTCTTACTGCAGCAGAGTAAAAAGGACCCTGAGAACCACGATGCTAAGCCTCACCACTGTTCACAGGACAATTCTACGAAACTGAGAAACTGGCTTTGAGGAACGGGGCCAGACCCTTCCCAGCCACAGGGCAGATGTGGATCTGAATAGAGGGTTTCCCTGGGTGGGGCCCAAGAACAGTATCCACCTCCCCAGCCCCCACAGCTCTGAAGCAGGGACTCAGAACACCTCAGAGGTCCTTGGCAGACAGGGCAGTGGTGACAGATGAGAGGGACCCAGTGTGGGGGACTTGTATATGTCTGAGCTGACTCTCTGGGAATGGGAATTCCCAGACAAGCTATAAGCCTTGAACTGTGATTAACCCAGAGACCCAGTGACACAGAATCTACTTCTGTCCTCCTATCCCAAAAAAAAAACTATCAATAGGAAGAAGAGTCCTACAACCCCAAGAAGAACTAGTGAATAGAGCCACCCAAACTATCAGTGGGTTGCCAGGAAGGCCACACCTCCCACTCTGTGACCTAGGGTGTGATTCTTAGGATGCTCTAGGTTCCGGTCCTTGCCCTTGCCAGTCATGTGACTTCCTCCACCTTGTCATGCTCTAGTTTCCTTGTCTATCAAATGGACAGACAGTGAGAGAAGCCACCAGACAGGGTCCTTGTGGAGACTGAACTCAGCCAAGCAGCACACAACGTGCTCAGCCCATAGTGAACTCATCCCAGCTCTGAGTGCCTACAGTTCGGCCACTGCCAGGACTAGAGCCCAGAGACGTGAGGCTCTGAGGAAGGGCACACTTCTGTCAGCAGCCACGGACTGCCGATCGTGGAGTGAGGCAGACAACAGTCGTAGCCACCAGGTCAAGATGTCCCCGCAATGCCGCAGCTCCAATACCCCACATGCCCTCCAGCCCCACCCACGAGATTGCCAAGAACTCACAAGACACACGTCAGCATGCAACAGCCGGGACACAGGGTAGGCTGGGAGGCTCGGGGTGGCTCTCCACACTCCTCCAGCCTGACAGAACACAAGCGCAAGGCGGTGGCAGCGACAGCAGCATGCATCCCCCACCCCTCCAGGACACCCGGCCACAGCCACGGCCACACACACTTACAGAGTAATGGCGGATAGTTCTGACATCTTGCAAGAGTGCTGCTGAGCCCGCTGCTGTGGCTTGCAGTAGCATTTCTGCACGCAGCTGCTGGGTGTGACAAGATTAGCACTTCTGTGAGCTGGGGGCATTGGGCAATGAAGAAACTGCAGTGGGACTCGGGAGGACTTAATTCACAGGGCACAGGGAGGGCAGAGAATGGGGGAATAGAGACAAGCTAAGGAAGCCACCCGGAGGAGAATGAGGATGCTAAGGACTAAAACACACTCAGCTCTGGACAAAGGAATGTATGTCCATAAGTATATGTGTATAGTTACAGAGCTTACATGTGCGCGCGCGCGCGCACACACACACACACATGCACACGCACACGCACTCGCACACGCACTGGCGCCACTAGTAGGCAAGCAGTCTTAAAAGGTTAAAAGGCAGGTGTGTTCAGGAGATGAAGCCGGAGCTGGGAATCAGACAGGGAGCCAGAGGCCATCTCCGTTATCAGCCCCAGGCTTAGAGCACAGCTTTGCCAAGGTCACCCAGTGAGATGAACAACTGGAGACTCATGCTGTGGACCTCACACACGGCTGGCATGAGGAGATCGAGTTCTGGACTTGTTAGCAAAGCTTACCATGGGTGTTCTGACCAGCTCTTCTTCCCCCACCCCCACCTTCTCTCAGAGTAAGGACACACAGGAGAGTAGAGGCAGGACAGGCATAATGGACTGTTCATTAGTCTAGACCTGTATTTACCTACTAAGGTAGCCACTACCCTAGATGGTATTCGAATTAAAATGAATTGAAATCCAATTGAATGAAAACTCTATCTCAGCATTCTAGTCACTGTAATCAGAACTTAATAGTCACATACGGCTCGTGGTGAGCACGCTGGACATAAAAAGAGGACATTCGAGGATCTCCTCAGGAGAGCACTAAGCTAGGCTGCTCCGTCCAGGTATATGGGCAGGGGCTAAAGGGCAAAAGCCTGAGGAAACGGATGCCTTGAGGAGGCAGCACCCAGGCCAGGCTGCCTGTGCACCCTGCTGGCCTCAGTCACAGAGGCATCTCGCTGCACCCCTGCCTCTGCTGATGCTTTCTGGTCCTGCTCACGCTTGAGCTGGTGTAAGCCAGGGACACTAGTTTCCCTACCAGAGATCAAGAGTCCATGCCACCTTGGATAACAAGTTACCTCCCTGTGGAGGGCTCTGGGGCGCCTCCTAGTGGCGATTGAATGCATTAATCAGGTGTGGATTAGATGCCAATGAAGACGAGTATGCAGAACAATCAGGTCCTTAACATTCAATGACCTGCTTTCGGACTCCAGCTGGGAGTGGATCTAAAGGCAGCCAGAGCCTGGAGACACGCTACTCGGCTGAGGCAAGAACATGTATTGCATACATCCAGATGAGGCCTGGGCTGTTCTTCTCCAGGCCTGTGGTACTCATTCAATAAATGGCATCTTTTATTTTGCATCACCTATGAGGTAGGTGCTGTAGGCCTGTTTTATAAGTGTCATTTGATGCTTTGCTCCTCAAGGGATCCCCAGACCAGTGGCAGGAACAGTACCTGACTGCCACTGGTACTGTTACATATCAGTAACAAACTATGGTGCCACTCTGGCCTACTGAGCTGACAGCCCAGGAGCTGCACTTCAACCTCAGCCTTTTTTTTGGGGGGGGGCGGGGGGAGATGCTGGAGAAGCCCTGTTGCAAGGTATTCCTGAGAAAGTTCTTGTGTGTACTTGGTAAATGACAAGGGACTGGATTGTGTGTGTATGGAGAAAGAGAGGGTGATACAAATGAGGAGAATAAGGAGCTCTGGGTCCACAGGAACAGCAGCTGTTTTCCTGGTCCTCTCCTTTGCCCAGAGCAAGTGGCTAACAACCCCCAACCCTGGCCAAAGCAGACAGGGCCAGTCTAAGACACTGCACATCCACACAGCCATTGCTCGATTTCTGTACCCTTGAGTTCTAAGCTTTAGCCTTTCTCCCTGAAGACCTCTCCTTTTTTTCCCCCCAACACTGTCCCATATTCCTCCCTTTTGGGGATCCACAACACTTTACAGTAAACATAGACTCCTCTGATTTTCCTTTAAAAAAAAATCTGGAAAATAGCCAAAGGACAATTTAGTGACATGTTTGCTGGGATGGGTCGCCCTGATGAGGGCAGGAGGTCAAATCCAGGAGCAACAAGGTCAAGGTGACATCCAGAGGGCTCTCAGGGGAGACTATCCAGAGGCCCTCTCCCAAATCCCTGCCCCTGGCCTGCAGTGGCCTGCAAACAGACTCAATGAAAGGCAACAGGCCCTGCAGTGACAGGAGAGCTGACCCAGAGAGTGAGAAAGGCAGGGTGGAGGCCTCCCAGGATAACTAGGCAAGAGGGGAGAACAGTTTCATCTAGAGATACACCCAGGCCAACTTAGAGGGCCTCCCCGAATTCACGGAAGCACAGGAGACTCAGAGAAGTGTGCTGGGGTGGGGGTGGGGGGCTTCCCTGGATCAGAGGACCTCTGGTGGTCAGTGGGAGTTGACTTGTGGGGATTTGGCCAGTGGCTGGTGCAGAACCCCCTCTGCAAGTCAGGGTAGGCGTGGCTTCCAGGTCCAGCTCTGACATGGCTTCTCTTCATCTGTAAGAAGGTCAGGGCTATTTCAGGGTCTCAGCTCTCACGTCTATCCCAGGGATCTGGCACAAGGTTTTTACAGTGCCTTTTGTGTGAGGGGCTGGCCGGACTGAAGCCCCAGGAAACATCCAATGGGATACTAGACAGACAGCTATCCATGCCCTGTGCAGAGAGCACTCCTGTTGTCTCCACCTCCGAGCCTAGGAATCCATGTACTACTGGCAGTCTATAGACTGTGATGGTCTCCTGACGCTAAGCTCACCTGCACCTTCAGAACACTGCCCAGTCCCCAGGAAGCACTCCCCAGAAATAGCAGCCCTGCCACAAGTGTGGCTCATCACCACTTCCTCCTCCAACAAGGAGGCAGAATAAGCCCGGGATCCCAGAAAGCATCCACACCCGGGCTCAAGGCTTTGTGGCCACTGACTTATTGGGTGGCTTTCTTTTCCTGGGTTTCTCAGGGTAACGGTTTCCCTAAACCACCCCTGATAGAACTCTGGGGGCAGATACTCATTGACAGGGTGAGGGTTATGGGCTGCAGGGACTGGAAGGCCATACCTGTATGTCAAGCCCTTGGCTGAACATCCTGATGGAAGGGCTGCCTGCCCACACAAAGCCTGTCCTGGGAGGTGGTGGAGGAATCTCTGCGGGGATGTGGGGGGAGGGCACATAGGTTTTCCCTCCCCACCTCAGACCTAAGTGATAGCTTCCAATGCCCACCTCCAAGAGTAGAGCCAGTCATGGGCACTAAGAATGAAGCCAGGCCACATCACGGCTGGACTGAGCCATTCCTTGCTCAGTCTGTGTCTTCCAGAAAACCTCCTTCTCTTCCACCCTCCAGAGTCAGGGGGCTGTGCCTAGCAGAAACTCAGGTTTCAGGCCAAAACAAGCCAACCCTGCCAAGGCCAGGGCTGAATGCTTGCACAACCCTAACCTGAGCCCCTGCTGACCCTAATGCAGGGCCAGGCTCCCCTGCCCTCCGTGGAGCCCCACATCCGGCAGGCAGGTCCTTCAAGGCTGAGCCAAGAGCACCTTGGTTGACAGTGGACAAACCCTTAGCATCTGCACAGCTGGAACCAACCTACAGGAAAGGGGGTGAATGCTGCTCTGAGGGCACAGGCAGGGGGTCCTCTCAGGCTTTCTTGGGGACTTTCAGTCTTAAATTTGTTCTGGAAACAGAGGAAAAAACCAGAGAGCTGTTGTGGGCAGACCAGAAGGGGCTTTACAGCAAAATACACACACATCTGGAGTCCCAGGCACAGCCCTGGAATCTCCCACCATGCCCTGCCCACCCCAGATTCTCCCTCCTCCCTAGTGCAGGCACCTCCCCTTATAGCCAGCTTCTCGAAAGCCCTGGGAATGGAGTACTTTTATATGGGGGGTGGAGAGGGACGTCCGGAGCCTACCAGGGATCTTCATTCAGGAAGCCTTTTATTTTACACACTGGCTTAACCTTATCATTTACAATCTGTGGATTCCCTGGGATCAGGAAGGATGACACAAGCTGGCTCTGGTGCCCACTGCCTGCACTGTCACCACAGCCTAGCTCCTTTTCCTGCTGCATTCACCAAACTTTATGGAACACTGGTGTCCTCACTGTAAAAGGGGCTTCTAGTTAGTTAGGGATAGCTTGCCCAGCTTGCTCAGCTGTGCCTGTGAGTATCAAATGCATGCAAGCATTTTTACATCCTCTGCAGCTCTCAGAAGCTTTGTTGACCCTGCGAACACTCAGACACATAGCTGAATTCAATGGGATCAAGCTAATCCCTTGTCAGCCTTACAGATTGAGTTTGTAATCTTTGCGACTTGAGACTACCATAGCATTGGGTTTTGTTGTATTTTTGTTGTTGTTGTTGTTGTTGTTTCTTTTGTTTTGTTTCTATCAAATAGCACTGGCCAAGCCTGTAAAGTGCTGTTTTTACACTAAGAAAGTAAACCAACTAGCTGCTTCTTCCAAGTTCTGGATTAACTTCCGAATATTAATATAAACCATGTGCTAATTACAAGTGGTTCTCATCTATACATTAGGAAGGCCCAGTGTTCTTTCCCATCAGGCCAGGGGCAGTTGCTATTGTCTGGAGCAGGGCATTTGATATGGCAAACATGTGATCAGGGTTCCCAGAGCATCCTTGTTTACTGAGCCCGAGCCCCTGTGTGTGTGTGTGTGTGTGTGTGTGTGTGTGTGTGTGTGTGTGTGTGTGTGTGTGTGTGTGTGTGTGTGTGTGTGTGTCTGCATAGGCAAAGTAAGGAGAAGCTGGAAGGATCTTCTCATTCAGCCCAAAGAAAATGGCCCAGAGGCCTCAGAAGAAGACACAGATCCTACCAGGAAGGGGAGGAGACTGAGCAAAGTTGACAGTGCTCAGGAGAGATTGAGACTAAATTAGCTTTTCCAATAACAAGAGGTGACAGTCAGTAAGGGAGCCAGTCCGCAAGGCAAGCAAGAGAAACTGAGGCTGGGCATAGAGGCACGACTTTGGCTTCCTACACTGCACAGGAAGGTGGCAGAAGGGGAGAAGGGGGCTGTTTTGTGACTCTGAGACAAGGTTCTCTCTCCAGTGCAGGGCAAAAAGCAACAGAGCTGCTGCCCTGTCCATAGGTCAAGGCCTGTATCAATAACTTCCTATTGCATCACAGACACAGACAAGGAAGGGCTGTTACAAAGCAGCAAATAAATAAATACATAAATAAACAGCTGGCAAAACATGAAAAGATAGACAAGTAACAGGTTGCTTAAATAAATAAATAAAACATGGCAAAAACATGAAACAAGCATTGGGGGGGGGCACAGTAAAATGATCACAAAGGTGTCCTTGTTCAATGGTACGTAATTATCGCCGAGGCAGAGAACGCGTCGTATATAATAATAAAGACCCTGTGCTAACCACCGACACAGGGAAATGAGTGGTCTCCATCTCCCCCGAAGGAGCCTTGAAGCGGGTCTGGAACTCAGTCCCTTTGCAGCATTCCTTTTCTCCCTAGGAGAACGGTTGGTAGAACCCTTCTGCTTCACTCTCTCTACCCCCCCCTCGTTTTTCTCAGAGAAGCCATCAAGGTTGTGAGCCTCAGGCTGGGTTTGTCACAAAGACCCCGGTGATGCTGTGAGAGTCCCGTGGCTGCCCTCATCTACCCTGGGCTGCTACTATGCCCTTCCAATCAGCCTCACAGAGCCCGTGACCTTTCTCTTTAGCATTAGAAGTATCTTCACACCCCACACTCCATTCCTGAGCCCAAAGGGGGAGTCAACAGGAGCTCTGTCCGATTTCAGAACAGGAAGGGGCTGGGATTGAGGTGGTCATGTGATTTTAGGGCAATCAGTGACTACAAAACTACTTCTCAGAACTCGAATGTCTGTAAGCGTAGCCAAAGCCTTGCACTCAGTGGCAATCACAGAGCTGATGCTCCTCTGCTGAGGACAAAGGGCGCTGAGGCAGAAGGTCAGACAGACACAGAGGTGGACAGAGCTCTTCTGAGGGAAGGAGGAGAAAGGAGAATCCCCATGCAGAGCATGACCCAGGAGAAGGTCCCCCTGCTGACTGCCAGGCACTTAGCAGCTTCTGCATAGTGGATGAGGGGGTGTGGCCTGTCACAGCCATGCCTCCAAAGGGCTCATCTTCCCACAGAACCAGCATCCCCAAAGGAAAGCCAACTTCTAAACAACCTAGACCCTAGCTCCCCGAGGGACTCTAGAGTTCTCCACTGATTTTCCTGCCACCACAGAGGCTCTGTCAGTCTCTTTCTCTCTCTTTCTCTCTCTCTCTCTCTCTCCCTTTTTCCATGCAGCACCCATGTCGCTGAGGAACTCTGGGTTGGCTGAAGCCTGGGAGGGCAGTTGTAGTTCACAGGCACTTTAAGGAGGAAGGAATCTTGCAAACACCCATGCTAGGTCAACCTGCCAGCAAAGTTCAAGCTTTGTCCTGCCTGTGACCCCAAGTGCAGGCCATGTGGTCGGAAATGGCTGTTGCATCCACATAGCCACATAACATACTTACAAGTAGATGCTGGACTCATTGCCTCCCATGTCTGGAGACTGCAGCTTCTGCACAAGGATGATGATGATGCCGATGAAAAGCACAAAGTTAACCTGAGGAGGGAAGGAAAGGCAAACTCGAATCTTTGTCCAGCCTGGTAGTCCCCAACAGGACCCTCTCCCAGGCGGGCAAGTTTCCTTGCAGACTTCTAAGTCTCCCACGGAGTCATTCGAATGAAGGAAAAGATAGAAGACAAATAATTCTATGCAAAAACCTGGACATAGAGAGCACGGGGGGGGGGGGGGGGTGCGGTGGGTAAGCCAGAGGCGAGCACTGTCTGCAAGAGGAAGAGGAAAGAAGGCTAGGATGTTGGAAAATAGGGTGTTGGAAAAGCACAGCTGAGGAGGTGACTGTACAGGTGACCCCCAAGCTCAGCAGATGGTGGGGTTGCTGCGGGCCTGTAATCCCAGCACTTGCAAGGCCAAAGCAGGAAGATCATGCATTCCAGGGCAGCCTGGGAGATATAGCAAGCCCCTGTCTCAGAGATAGAGAGATAGAGGTGGGGTGGGGATGGGGAGAGAAAGTTCAAGTCCAGAGTCTTGGAATACGGAGAAGCAGCCAGGGCGGCGGCGGCATTCCTAATTAGAGGACTGCCTGGGAACAGCAATAGCAGCAGCGTGTGCCATCAGGGACAGCTGCTTTCCAAACACAGTGGGAAGCTGCGTGTGTGCTGAGAAAGGAGGAGGAAGAGCTGCAAATAAATGCAAAGGAGGCACAACAAGAAGCCGGCACGCAGGGCGACATCTCTGGGCCAGCGCCAAAGTCGCCCAGAAGAAAAGAACAACACGATTCTATTTCAAAACAACAACCGCTCCGAGAACAACCAAGCATCCGAAAGCAGGAGAGTGATCGTCTTAAAGCTGACATATACCAGAGGGTATGCTCTGCAGGTAGAGTCGAGAGAAAGAGACTGGAAGCCATAGGAGCCTTGATCAGGAAGGACCCTGCTTGCTCTCTTCTTTGTTTCACAGATCAATTAGCACAAGAAAGCACACTCCTGCTCTGCCGTGCTTGTCTCTGCTTCTGCTGCTGTCTAATTAATGCCCGAATTAACTCAGCAAATATTGCTGAGGAGAAAGCACCATTAAATGTCTAGGGGTGAGAATGAGGACAACACCAGAGATAAACAGAGGATTTCGAATCGTGAGAGACGACGGTTGACCCAAACCAGGAAATTAGAATGAGCAAGAACAACTCCCTAGGAGGTGGAGGGTCTGAGGAGAGCAATAAGTTCAGAAGGAAATGTAAAAGGAGTCAAAAGTATATGCGTTACAAAGCATTAGGCCCAGATAATTTCATGAATTTGTAAAGAAAATGCGGTTTCCCTGATATGTAATTGTTTCAGAGCGAATCTCAAAGATTCTACTACAAAAAAAGGGGGGCAGGTACAGAGGGGTAGCCCAGCCAATAAAATCTTACAAGCAAGAGGATAAAAGATAAAGTGTGATCCCTAGAACTCAGGTGAAGAAAAAAAAAAAAGAAAAGAAAGATAGGTGTAGCCACATGTGCTTTTAATCTGAGGGCTGAAGAGACAGACACGGGCAGACCCTGGACTGCACTCCAAGCCAGTGAGAAACCTTCAGAAAAAATCCAAATGAGAATTCTGAAGAATGACACTAGAGATTGATCTCTTCTGACCTCTCCACACACACACACACACACACACCCACACACACACATGAGGGAAGGAAACAGACTCCCTCCAAAAAAAAAAAAGTTGAGCATGGTTACTTAGTGAGACCCTGTTTCAAAAGGCAAAACAAAACAAAAGCCAGGCAGGAACAGAAAATAAACTCACACCGACATATAAGATACGCGGAGAACAATCCTAAATCTTTAAGGACAACATTAACAAGCAGAATTTGGTGGTACATGAGAAGAGTAAGCAGATCATGACCACAAAGATTTCATCCTAGGAACGTAAAGAAATGTGCTATTATTCTTTATGATGACAGATTAAATAAATACATAAATAAATAAATAAATAAATAAATAAATAAATAAATAAATAAATAAATAATAAATAAATGAATGAATAAATAAAACAAGCTCCATCATCCCTGTGAGACTGGCAAATAATTAGTAGTAGACAAATAACCAGCAAAGACATGGGGAGCACAGGAAGTGAGCGCTCTTGCTCCTTGTCCATGGCCATGTGAATGATAAATGCACACACTCTTTGTCCCAGAATCTTATTCCTCATGATTTATCCCAAAGACATAAGCACCCGTGCTCAAAGCCAGACACAAGTACATCCTTAGAACTAGAGAAACATTGGACTCGTGTATTATACTATTCTGTCACAGGGCATGATCTCTTCAGCACATGTGATCAAATGCAATACCCGTGCTCAGCTTCGTAACAACACACACGGAAGCCAGCCAGAAAGAAACCCTTGCCTAATTGCACACAAGTCAACTGCCAAAAACTAGAGCAAACATTGTCCTCCATAAAAACAGGGAATGAAAGGAACAGATATTGGAAAAGATCGGAAAAAGCTGTTTTCATTTACAGGTTGCATAATTTTCTATGTAGAAACCCCATGGGAAGCAAATAAAAGAGATTAAACTCATAAGAGAATTCGAAAATATAACAAAGTCAAGAAATCACAAAAACTGATCACTTCCCTTTATGGCCCCAATACTACAGGGAAGGACAGATCTACCAGATCTCCACCACCAGACACTACAATGAAGGAAAGATCTCTGGACTCAACCAAGGCCCAGGCTGGGGACGCCTCAGAGTAAGCAAATGAGAGCAAGAAAGACTGGGCAGACGGGGAATGTCGCTGTGTTCTTGGAGAAAATCAACTTTCCTTCCAATCGGTACATAATTCAATGCAGACCTCCACCAGATCTTTTCTTACAACTTAACGAGGATATTCAAAAGTCTACCTGACTAACTGAATGTGTGAAAAATGTTCAACCGAACAAATAAGAAATTGACATACACGATGGTAAAACATACAGTCACCGCAGCAGGCACAGCCTCCTGGGGTGGCACACAGGTGAAGGTCTCCAATCCACAGTGCATAAATGTTTGTGATAAATAACTTTCCAGCATATAAGATGCTATAAGGAGACTGGGAAATGTGTGGCCGTCAAAAATATAAACATAAATAGCATTTTCAAAAGGACAAAAAAAAATAAATACATTTCTGAAAGATACATTGAACATCTAAACCACAACCGTGTTGTGAAGCGATTAAGAGGAGATTGGTTGGTATAGCTTGAGCTGACGGAAATCCTCCATAAACAAGAAATAAGGCTGGGATCATAAAGATGAAGCCCGAGGATCCCAATGTATGCAAGTTACGCTGGCCTGGGAACATGACAAAGTGGCAAAGAGAAGTCACTGCTCCTCAACTGAGCTGAAGGACAAGCTGCCAGAGGGCTGAACGAGAGAAGTTCACAGGAATGTCCAAAATAAGTACACGCCACCAAAAAAACTGTTCAGAAGTGCGTGCCCAAGCCCACTAACAACACAGAGAACAGACGTGCCATCCCGAAGACAGTGCCACCCTCCACAGGACTCTGCACCATCAAATGACTGGTACTGCAGGTACAGGGAGGATCTGGGGAACAAAGGCACCAGAGGGGATGTGATTTGTTAAAGAATTTTTGCAAAATGGTGAAGGATCTGAAATGTTAAATGTATACCCTTTTGACCAGCAATTCCACCTCTAGAGATTCATTTAAAAAACAAATCATGCTCAAAATCATGCATGAAATTATTCCTAGTAACACTTTTCACAATAATTAAAAATGGAATAACACTAGAATAACTTAATAATGTGTGCGCCAGTGTTACAGCATATAATACAGCTGTGACAAAGCTTATCTTTCCCTTCCCTGTATTCTCTTTGTCTGTCTCTCCCTTCTCTCTTTATTCCAAGGATACTCACCATTATAGAGCCAACCACGGGGCCTTTGATCACCCACCACAGAGCTGTGCTGTCATTCATATCCCAGCAGCTAAAAGACAGACAGGCAAAGAGGAGAAATCATAACAGACCCTGCAGAACATCACATGACTAGCTGGGGGCCTGCATTTTTCTCTCCCTGTCACCCCTGACCAGGGCAATCTGGAAGTAGAGGTGGGCTAGGTAGAATACCCCTCACCCCAGGCTTGCTTTTTTCCCCTCTGCTCCTCTGTCATGGCAGAGACTGGAGCCCAAGAATCAGGGTCACAGTGGGATCTTTGGAAAGGACAAGTCTCCCATTCAGTTCCAGGGTCCAGTTCCTTGGAGTGGAGAGTAACCTCACCTCTGACATTCTTCCTCCTCTCCAAAGGATACCAGATGCTCAGAGTTGCCCCAAACCAGATGGGTTCAGAAATGTACCCATTCTCTTGCTGGACTGTCACTTAAGACAAGGCTAACCACAGAGGAGAAGGCTGAGGAGGAACTTGGGGCCAGGCTTTGGTCTGTGGCTGAGACAGGACTGATCACATGGGGTGAGGACTCAGGTGCTTCCCAGGGCTGGGTCTTGTTCAGAACAACATGTTGGGGAGTTCATGGGAAGCCAGGTGCCTGAAAATGTACTCTATACTCTCAGCTGTACTCACCCTGCATCATCGAAGTACAGCCTCAGCACAGCCCACACGGTCACACACACAGTAGGAGTCCCTGGAGAACAAGAAAAGGAAATCCAACTTGCCCAGGATACTCTTAGCCTCAGGGGAGGGGGAAAATTCCTGGGGGGTCCTATTGTCCCTCATCTCCAGCTTCTTCTCATACTTTCCATTTCCCCCAGCTTCAGGCCATCTGGTCTCCTAAGATGATGCCTAGGTATAGCTCTCCCTTAACAAATGGGGTCCCACTGGAAGGAAGTAAAAGATGGTTCTAAGAATTAGCAAGTAGCCCACAGCCTAGCAAGGGCTGTTACCTAATGGTTCCTAAAACTGGGACCAAAGACAACTGACGAGGAGGCTGAGCCATCCAGACCCAGCCAGTGACCTACCCCAGCCAATGATGGTGTACCAGTAGAAGTATCTCCTCTCAGGGAAGAAGGTCTCCACCAGCAGTGTAAAGAGGTACAGGCCTTCAATGAACAGCCAGAAGTAGTTGGACACCACGCAGTAGTGGAAGAAAACCATGACAGCTTTGCATTCCACCTACAGGGACAGCCAGAGGAAAGCTGAGCTCTCTGCCCTGCCCCCAGGTAAACCCTGAAACCCAGCTCCACAGAACAAGGGGAAATCCTGAGGCCTGTCAGCACTGGCACACTCAGCCTCAGGTATCCCAAGGACCTAAGATTATGGGCATTCCTGGATGGAGGAGGCAGAATGCACAGCATCCCAGGACTCAGGATAACCTGCCCAGCCAGGAAAATGCTGTTGTACAAGGACAAGTGACAACAGGCTAAAGCTCCAAGCTCCCCTTTCCCACCCTCTCACCCCTTACCCAGCACTGCAGGTCAAGTAAGTAGGAAGAGAAGCAACCGGCAGTCCCCATAGGAGACTGCTTACAAAATGAGGATCTGGACACATCACAGGTAGAGACACACACCTTGGCCCTGGGAAATCTCTTCTCAAACAGATCCTCAAAACATGCCCTCCCAGTGAAGGCCCCAAGCCCAATCTGTTCTCAGCCCATACTGTCATATAGCCAGTTCTCTACATATACCTCCTTCACACATCTGTGCTTGGGAAGGCATCTGCAAAGACCCTGGACAGCTGGCACACGGATTTCCACAGGACTGGTTACATAACAAAGGACTGGGCAAGCCCTGCCTGAGCCTCATTCTCATGTGGCCTTCCTGGCCCAAGGTCCAGGCTGAGGGCCTGTGTAGCTGATTTTTTCTTTGGGCCACCAGTTCACAAATAACAGTGCAGAGACTTATTATTAATTATGAAAGCTCGGCCTTAGCTTAGGCTTGTCCCACTAGCTCTTATAATTTAAATTAACCTGGTTTTATTAATCTATGTTTCACCACATAGCTTTTTAATCTTTCTTTCATTTTGTATGTCCAACTCCCTCCATGTTTCCTTGGTATCTCCTCTGTGCCTTGATTCCTCCTCCTCCTCTTCCTTTCTCTCCCCAGAAATCCAGCCAATACCTCCTGAATAGCTATTGGCCGTTCAGCTTTTTATTACACCAGTCACAGTAATACACCTGCACACAGTCAGTGTACAAATACCCCACCCCAGGCCTGGCTGTGTTTTGGCTGGGAGTGAAGTCATATACTGGCTACAGTAACCACTCCATAACTCCTGAACTTCCACATGACCTGGGACGAGGCCTTCACCTGCAGGGACACCTTCCCTGTAGGGTGCTAGCAGGGCAGAGTCCCGGGGTGGCTGGGCTGCTAGCTCACTTACAGTGGAGACGAAGCAGTGACTGCTGTCCTGCTCGGCATACAGAATCCAGTCTTTGATGAAGACGGAGATGGCCCTCAGCATGAAGGACACGAACAGGTTCATGTGGATGAAGTTGCGAGTGCAGTGCAGTTTCCTGCGTGAACCAGGATGGGGAGGCCATCAACTGCATAGCATTTCACATCCTGGGGGCTGGGGGGGGGGCTGCTCTTGGCCTCCTCGTGGCTTGTCTTAATGGGGTCCCTCTCCCAGACCACCCTCTTCTCCCATCTCGATAATCCTCTGCCTTCCCCACCCTGGTCATCTGGTCATCTGCTGGCCAGACATCTCCCCCCTACAGCCTCTCCACCTAGACCAGGGAGATTAAAGCAAGCAAGGGAGATTCCCAGAAGGGATCCTGTCCAACTGTGAGGTTCTGGAGACATGAACTGCTCTCTCAGGCCACCTCCCCATCTGCTGTGCTGCTGGGGACAGGGCCCTGCCGTCCAAGCGGCATTCCGGGAACCATGGGAGGCAAGCACTTTGAGCAGGATGGACAGGGGTGGTTGTAACACCACCGGGCTCTCACCGGAAGCGGCACAGGATGACCATGGCAGTGGTGAGGGTGACGAGGGAAGTGCTGTAGCCGACTGTGTAGAGGGCCTTCACCGACAGGTAGTAATAATCCTGGAGCAGGGCACAGGACATGCTCCACTTGGAACCGGCCACTGCCCCCCCTAGGACCCACACCCGGTGTCCCGGACCAGGGCCTGCCCTCCTGTGGGCTCAACCTCTCCCCCTATTTGCCATCACTCCACTCCTGGCCAGACACCTGCTCCTCTCTGAAAAGGGTCAGTATTCTAAACAGGTTTAGAATGTATTGGGGGAAGAGACTCCCAGCTAGGCCCAGCATTAACCCCTCAATTGCTGGGCTACACGGAAGGCATTGTCCTGAAAAAGTAGCCAGGGTTGAGGGGACTTCTGGTGGGACAGAGCCCGAGCAGGGTGAATGAACGTCCTACCCTCCACGCCTCAGGCTCAGTATACAGCAGGTGCTCGTGAGTGCTACCCAGAGCCCCGAGCTCCTCAGAACTAACCCACCATCTGACTTACCTGATCCCCAGACTCTGGCTCATAGTCATCAAAACCACAAGCATCGAAGTAATGGGGGAAGGGCTCTGACCAGCCATCCTCCGTGCAGTTCCGGCCCACGACCCCCATGTCTGCAGAGAACAGAAAACTAAGCAAGGTAGGCAGATGGCTTTAAATGACCCTGGAAATGATTTCATACTGGGAATTCCTGAAAACCCACGTGTTCAACGGGAGGCTCAAGGTAGAAGGTACAAGGTCGACTGATTGCTGAAGACCTGACACTCATCCTTCACTAATGACAGAGGCCCGGGGTGAAGGGAGGGATGAATGAATGAATGAGCAACCTGATCCCTGAACCAAGAATCCAGCATGCCTGTGTCTCTCCTGAAATATTCCCAAACACTCGCCGGAAGAGGATCTGGAGCCTGCCCCCCGGGGTCCGGGATCAGCACTTCTCAAAAGGTCAATGTGGAGAGAACCACCTAGAGACTGGTCACAAACGCTGCTTCCAAACCCACCCTCAACCTCATCCCCAACCGCAGGGGCCCTAACAAGGCATCCAGTGTGTCCAAGACCTCCCTGGATGACTGTGGGGTGAGGACTGGGCACACTTGAGCTCCGAGCTCTGGACCTCCCAGCAGCTGGAACATCTCCCACCAATGGGCACCTGGCTTTACGGTTACTTAGCAAGCCCAGGCATACTCTCTCTTACTTCCACCCTTACAGGGCTCGGCGGGCCTTTGCCGTTGCTGTTTCGCTGCTTTGTTTTTGGTTGTCAGAGTCTGTCTCCTGTCATCCGTGTGCATTCATACTCTTTGGATCGACCCTAAGGCCATTGTGTGGGACGCTAGAGGGACAGAGCCATCACGGCTGCTGAAAGAGGTGTTCGCTACCGGCCAAGCAGCGTGTAGGCTATCTCTCATGTGAGTGGGCGGCTTCAGCCTTGACTGACATCATGTCATTCTGAGCCCGTGAGAGACACTAAAGTCTGGGAAAGCACAAGGCAAGCAGGCCTTTTCCTCTAGCTAGCACCAGACACTTGTCCCTAGCTGGCAGCCCAAGAGTTTACCCATCTCTTAGGAAACATTGAAAAGGGCCAGGATCTGGGGTGGTTTAAAATCCCCAGAGACAGAACAGAGGTTTTCAAACTTCAGTTGTACACCCCTGCTCACTTTGTGGGCTTGGTAGAGCACAGATTCTGGGGCCTCATCCTGAGGTCTCTGATACAGACCAGTGACTTGTGGATGGTAAGGGAGCACTGTGGAGAAGGAGTCTGGAGTATGCACTGCTGGGAAGGATCCTGTCCGCTGTGATCAAGGTGGCCTCTGGGGAGCTCAATGAGGAGGTGGTGGGTCAGTGCAGAGTCAGTGCCGAGGGCAGGGGAAAAGACCCCACACTTTTCTAACCAGCATCCTGTTCTTGCTGGTAGACTTAGCAGGTGTAAGGCCAATTGCCTTCAGCCAAGAGAGTTAGACATACCCTCCCTAGGACTTGGAGGGATGGGGCCGGGAGGAGTGGCGGAGCAGGAACAGCCCAGAAGAACAATCTGCTCAGAATGGGAGTGTCTCCACAGCTTCTCTGACGCCCGAGACACAAGCCAAGGGAGTCCACCAGGCCAGGGGCTTCACTCTTAGTGATGTCACCAGACTGTCTCCTCTTCAGAAAAACGTGTCTCAGGCTGCTGCTGGCAACCTCCTGGCAAAGGCTCCTGAACAGCTGAGAACATCGGACTGCCTCCCTGAGTCTCCCTTGGGAGCCAGATGGCCACGCCACTGCCCTCTCTGGGCTTTGGTTAACTCTGCCTTGCCTGTCTCACAGAGGTAGGAAGAGGAAAGGGACAAAGGGTGCACAGGGATGTGGAAATCAATTAAAAAAAAAAAAGCTTCCTAAAGGGAAAAGCCATTTCCTGTCTTTTATTTTCCCTCTTTATTTTAATAACACGATGTAGGCTCGGAAAAACATAAACCTTTTTCTTCTCCTCAAAATTGTTCTGTGAATATTGTTCTGATAGAAATCTCCGGAAGACGGAGTGCTCTCCAGATTGTCAAAACCTCACAGTGACAGCATCTCTTTCACCGGGTTGTTTTGCTCCGGCAATGCCGTAGGAGCGTAGCAGGCTCCCCGATAGGGCCCCACCTTTTCACCTGAAGACTGGTTGGCCATGCCTCTGGCCCTGCTTCAGCTGGTCACATCAGAGACTGGGGTAAAACCCCAGAATCTGCACCTCATCAAGTCTGCAGAGAGCAGGAACGGGACAGGTAGGCTGCATCTCACTTGGCCACCATACATCCCTCTGGCACACAGCCTCTTGCAACAAGGGTTGCGGCTGCATGGCTGTGATGCTCAGAGTGGCACATGGCTTGACCCCACCCATCCAGGTGACTGGAGCGCAAAGCTGAGGTCTGAGAACCTCTGTGGGAGGTTCAAAGCCACCAAAGACCTTGGAATCCAGAGGCTCCACACTCACAATACACGAAGGGGCTTCAAGACACCCATAGCTCCCCCACAGCACGTGATTATCTGCATGATGGAGGCGCCATCTTCTCTCTGGGGACCTGAGTGGTATCTTCCAAGGAGACAACACACAGCTTTCTCAGAGAAGCCACACGCTCAAAACCACACAGAGGATAAAGTCTAGCTACAAAGCAGGTCAGGGCTCCCACAGCAGCTGCCCTCCACCCTCACCAGCCCAAAGTGCCTCCAGCTCCTCCCTCACCTGTGATTTCCAAGGAATTACTGTCGGCGAAACCAGAATCCCCTGCAAAAACACAAACGTGGTTCAGAATGCTGCATTTGTCAACTGGCCCCATCACCCAAGGCTAAGGGTGGCCAGTCTGCAGCGAGTGGGGTTGGGATCCAGGGGCTGACTCTCCCTCAGCAGATGCACATCCCTGTGGTACACAGCCTCTTGCAACACCAATCTCACAAGGGTGGCGGCTGCGTGGCTAGGAAGCTCAGAGTGGTCCATGGCTTGGTCCCCACCAGAGAGCCTCCAGGGTGGGGGTGGGGAGTGGAGAAGCCTGGGGCTTGGGGTTTCTTATTTGAAGTTCATCTCCCACTGCTGTTCCAAGTCTGTTTCTCACCGAAGGGACCTCCCCAAACCCAAAAAGTTGATCTGCAGTTTTCTCCCAACTGCATAACCTTTATTCTCATATCTGTCTACAGATGACCTAGAAGTTAACCCCACTTCCTCTCAACTTTTCAAAATCCATTTCTAAGCTGAAGAACCACCTCTTTCAGGAAGTCTGCCCTGACCTCTTCCCTGTCGCCCTGCAAAATCTGCCTCTAATTATCTTCTGTTCTCTTGCTTGGTAGGTACATTCCCACTTCCCCGCTGCTGGAATGACAGAATCTACACGAACTCACAAACAGGGCCAAGCCACATGTAGATGCATGCACCATGCACACAGATGGACTTGGTTTCCAACCCCTCCATTGGTGGCTCAAACTCCTGACCCAGCTTGGAAAGGCCTTGAAGCCAACCACTGTGCCTTCCATCTCTCCTAGCCTCCAGAATGGCCAAATTGTGGGCAGGAGGGAAGAAACTGGTCCCTGATGGTCCTGTCGTGCATGCTACCCCACCTGACCATCATTCCAGCACCCAGGGGGCATTGAATCTCCTAAGGTTGGGCTCCCGCTAGGCAGATGGAACTCTGTCTGTCCTCCCAAGGGTCGTCTTACCTATGGTTTCTGTCATCCAGACTGGGGAGAGAGAGAGAGAGAGAGAGAGAGAGAGAGAGAGAGAGAGAGAGAGAGAGAGAATGAACATGAATACAAATGCAGTGGTGAATAGGGCTGAAGTAAGGTCTGTTCCCACAGGACATTCTCTCCCCCACCCCGCCCCCAACTCGGAGAGAGCCCTGCTAGGGACCTGAAGGCCCGAGGATCCCATGCTAGGAGCCTCTAACTCCACCTCCAGGTCAGCACATGAGGAGGAAGGGGAGGCATCGGCCAGGGCTCCCACAAAGCCAGCTCTTCTGGCAGGCCTACCCAACACCATTGTCACTGAGCTTCCAGGAATGAGAACACAGAGAGAGACCGCAATTCACTCCCTTCTGTGGGGAGGGCAGGTCTCACTACCAGGCTTGTGAACAGAGGTGCTAAAGGCCCTGCTTTAATGAACCATTAAGAGCCAGGTGTAAATAACATTCCCTGCTCCCTGAGGCGGCAGGGTGCAGCTGAGGGAAATCATTTTACCGTCATTCCTGTCACCTCTTGTGGCTGCTACTGTAGGGGGAAAAAAAAAGGTTTTGTGGCTGGAATTTTGCCTAGGGAGGATGTTCCAAAAGCTTCAAATAACTAACTGAAATAAAGCAATGGGCACATGGAGGAAGTGATTAAGCTGGCTTCCATGGGAATAAATCTTAGGAGTCAGGCCCTGTCCCCGACAGTCTCCATTTTCCCTCTACTCACTCTGCCTCTCTGCCTAGAGCCTCCCCCAGAATTTACCCTCTGGCCTGCTCTGGGGCACAGCCAGTCTCCAAAAACCCTCAGAATGGGAACATTCAGAAACCAGCTTCTTCTTGGAGAGCAGGAGGTGGAAAGATGTGGGATAAAGAGAGGAGGGATATATAAATAAACCCCACCTTCTCTGTGTTCTGGATGGGAAGCCCAAGATGGAGGCTCGGGACCCCAATGAATACCACTCTTTCTCCCCCACCTCCTGCAAGCCAGGGTGGAGGCAAGTTATTGGTTGTGGCCCCTCCAGACAGGGCCTGGCATCCACTCCATGAAGTCCGGCACACTAGGGTCCTGTCTTTGGGAAGAGTATTTCCTTGCTCCCTGATTCACATTTCTGTATCCAATATCATAGTGACCATTCCATAGGATCCCAGTTTGGCCCCAGGAATTGTACACATCATTTTGGGGGCACCAGAGACCATGAGCGGACATGGTATGTGAGCTGCACAGACCCCTCCATCCAGCTTTGGTTTCCTGGCACATGCTATGTGCTGGCTTGTCTTGTGTTAACTTGATATGCAAACTAGAGGTTTCTGATAGGAGGGAGCCTCAATTAAGAAGATGCCTCCACTGGGCAGTGGTGGAGCACGCCTTTCATCCCAGCACTCGGGAGGCAGAGGCAGGCGGATCTCTGCGAGTTCGAGGCCAGCCTGGTCTCCAAAGCGAGTTCCAGGAAAGGTGCAAAGCTGCACAGAGAAACCCTGTCTCAAAAAAAATAAAAAATAAAAACAAAAAATAAAAATAAAAAATAAAAAAGAAAGAAAGAAAGAAAAAGATGCCTCCATAAGATCCAGCTGTAAGGCATGTTCTTAATTAGTGATTGATGGGGGAGGACCAGCCCATTGTGGGTGGTGCCATCCTTAGGCTGATGGTCCTGGGTGCTGTGAGAAAGCAGGCTGAACAAGTCATAGGAAGCAAGCCAGGAAGTAGCGCCTCCTCCATGGCCTCTGCATCAGCTCCTGCTCCAGGTTCCTGCCCTGCTTTGAATTCTTGTCCTGACTTCTTTTGGTGATGAAACCGCAATGTGGAAGTGTAAGCCAAATAGACTCTTTCCTCCCCAACTTCCTTATTGGTCATGGTGTTTCACTGCAGCAATAGAAACCCCTAACTATGACAAGCCATCATACACATACCTCTGAAGCCAACGTCCACACGTCCTAGACTACGTTCCTTGGTGTCCTGGCCAGCTGGGGTTAGAGGAGCAGGACTCCAGCTCCTCTTCCCTGAATCCTCACGGTCATCTGAGGGCAGTAAGGCCCAGGGACATGTTTTGCTTAGCAAATGTGTATGCTAGTGGGTGGGCCGGCAGACTGACTGGGAGGCTGGAGGATTGGGTACCTGCCCACTTCAAGATGTTGAAGAATGTGGGCTCAGGTGTCTGTCAGCCATCTTTATACTCCCATTCTGCCTGTGGGTATTTGGTCATACAACTCCATGCATATATATATTCCTCCAGGCCTCTTGAGTCATCTCCATGGTGATGTCATCATCGTGGTGACTGCGATGATGTCAGCTAACTTTACTACTAAACATGCAAAATGCACTGGGTGCTGTGCTACATAGCATCTCTATAAGTGATCTCACTTTATCTCTACAGACCACTTGGAAAACAGCCACTGTGTCACATCACTATCTGCTGGACCAGAAACTTGAGGGATGGTCTGCCTTGCAGAAGGTCCCTAATGGGGTAAGCATTAAAGCTGCTGTAGCCCAGCCATAGCCCAGATTGAGCTCACCTACCAGGACACTCACCTGACAATGCATACCTGGCCCTAGAGCTGTGTTGGAGAAGTGTCTCCATGCCCTATCCCAGCATGAAGGATGCCGTCCCATCCTGCCTGCCATCTGCCATGTGCCCATCGGGCGGCTGAGTTCTTGAAGCTGAGTTCCAGGCAGGGGTATGGCTGTGTGGATTGCAGGCTACATCAACACAGCTGGAGAGATTCTGGGCTCTACTTACCTTGGTCTGGGTTGAAGATCCGGAAGACCTCAGGGCAGCTCACAAGAACCAGCTCACCGACTTGAGCAGGCTTCCAACATGTGATATTGTCCCACATGCCAGGGCAACCTGGAGGAGAGAGCCACTGTGAGTGACAGTGTGCCTAGCCGTATTCATACCACATGCACACAAAGTGTACACATACCACAACCAGACACAAAGACACCATACACGTCCCACATATGCAGATACACACAGGCACAACACATACTATAGGTGTGTACACACATACGCCCCTTTGTAACAGCTAGTTTTCAATATCAATTTGACTTGATTTAGAATCACCTAAGAGATGGTGAGGCATTCCTCTGGTGATGGTGAGGGCATCTCCAGAGAGGACTGACTAAGGAGGAAAGGTCCGCCCTGAAGGTGGGTGGTATTACCTGTGGGTGGGCTGGTATCCTGGGCAAAATAAAGGGAGGAAGGAGAAAGCTAGTGGGGCGCTAGCATTCCCCATTTCTTTGCTTGTTAGGCATCATAACATGAGCTGAGCTACTCCGCTGTGCCTTCCCAACCACAAACAGAACTCCTGAAACTGTGAGCTAAAATAAATCTTTCTTAAGTTATTTCTATTAGGTATTGCAATCAAATGATAATAATGGCAAATAGCAACCACATGCCACACACAAGTACACACATACACACACATACACATACACAAATACACACATGTACACACACATACACACACACATACACACTCACACACATACACACACACACATACACACACATACACACACACATACACACACACACATACACACACACAAGTACACACACACACATACACACACATACACACACATACACCATACACATACACACACACATACACAAATACACACATGTACACACACATACACACACACATACACACACACACACACACACACACACACACACACACACTTTGCATGAACTGCTCAGAAGTTGGCCCTTGTAGGAGGCAAACAGTTTACGAGGAGAGAAGGTAAGTCTTCCTATGTGGGGACGGCTTACTCCTGCACCTGGAAAAGCACTCCAGGAGTGGTTCAGAAAACCACTGTAGGAACTCCAGAGCAGGAGACTCTGTGGAAGGCCCTCTTCTCCATGCCACAGTACACCTGCAGCCTGCCAGACACCTGCATTCCCTTAGCCTCATCACCCTTGTGGGATCTAATATTCACCTCCCCAGTGAGGCTCACTTCTCCATGGGAGTGGGGTTGAGGCTAGATCAGCTGGCCTGAGGCTAGACTCCAGAGCCCACTTCCTTCCCAGCATAGCCCTGCATCAAAGCTGGCACCTGAAGTGAGGTCACCGCTTCCCCAGCTGAGAGGATGGAAGGTATCCAGACAGAACTATGGAAAGACTTGGAACAGAAAGAGGTGATGGAGGCAGAGTCCTTGGGGAGGCCAAGGTCAGAGCCTTGTTGTGGGGATTGGCTGGCAGAGGGGAAAGGACCGGTACACAGAGAGACTTGGGAATCACTAAGTCTTCCTGGGGGTGAGCAGCAAGGAAGAAAAGTATGTCCAGCTCAACTCTCTCTGATTTGGGAGGTTTGGTGGCTCATGGGATCCCCCTGTCTTCTGTGCATTCTCTCCCCTTATGGCCACCATCTCTCTCCACCCCTCCTCTGCACTGCAGCAGCACTCATCAAGGTCAGCAACAACCTCTTCGCTGCTGCCAAATCCAAGGAACAATTTCAACTCCAGCCAGGCTGGACTCTGCCCACCTGACTGGCTGCAGATTCTGGAAGGCATCCTGTCTTGGGCCACCTGCCCACTCACCTTGGATGAGCTCAGGGACTTAATAGAATTACATGTAGCCACTCTCTGGGCTGACCCCAAGGTTTGTTTGTTACCTGCTGTATGTTCCCACTTTGAGGGGCCAAAGACAAGTCAATGCAGGAGTTCTGGACTCCACCCAGACCCTCCGACTGAAACGACCCTGCGACCCTGCATCTGTTTCAGCCCAGCTGAGCGCTATTTGCTCCATCTCGGTCATGGGCATCATCAGGTCCTGCTTGGTTCCCTCCAGACATCAATGAAACCTATCAGTCTTCACTGGGATCACAGCCCCCTCCTAGATATCCCTCAGTTAGGACCAAAATCTTTTCGAATTGTATGGCTTGGTAACTCCCCACATCAACAATTAAAATCTGTGTTCTTCACACCCCGATTCATAAGCATGACAGCTGTTGTCCCTGCCCTGCCTACCTGTCCCTATCTGGCCTGCCAGGCGTACTTCCTCTTGAGCATATGAGTGGTGAGACATGTCTTTTTGGTTGTGAGCCTAGCCTTTAATGGCTGAGCCATCTCTCCAGCCCATGAGTCATGTCTCCCAAGGAAAGGATGTGAAGAAGAGCAAGGAGGAGGAGCCCCAGGATACCACACTTAGGAGTTAGTAAAGGAAGCACGTGTAGTGACTTTGTGGAGAGTGTATGACAAAGGGGCAGAGGGGTGGGGGAGGTGCTGAAGCAGGTCAGGCAGCATCAGACAGCTTCAGGAAAGGAGCCTGACCTACAGAGGGTCTACAGATGGGGGAACTTCAGTGTCCCATAAGGAACTGAGTGACTGCTCACATCCTGTCTCCCAGGACTGCTGGGGGGTCGGGGGGACTAACAAGTTCCTACACAGAAAGTCCTATGATCAGCACCATGGTGACTCCATGCTTGTTGGTTGTCATTGGGCTTAGCGTCGTTATTTCAACTAGATGCTCCTAAAAGTCACTCCTTAGAAGGGCTGCCCTGCTGGGGAGATAGAAGTTCAATGGCCAGCTGCTGACAGGCTCAGAGGAAACCTGAGCAGGCGGAGGGGTGGCCTGGGCAGGCTTCATGACAGCATGGTTCCTCTGTCGCAGCCATGACTTCTGGCAACCCAAGACATTCTCAGCTTCTAGGTCTCTCAGAATTCAGACCTTGCTGCTTTGGTGTTCACACGAGTGACTCTCTGGCCTGTGGCATCCTGCTCATGGAATGACACCCTCTGGGAGCTAGGAAAATTGTTAAAGTTCTCTGTGTGGAGTTTAAGTGTACAGAGACTCAGGGGATCAGATGAGAAAAAGCACCTATGTATGCTGCTATCAAGGATTCCCGTCCACCCAGGGTGTCTCGCCAGTACACAGTTGGCTGTGATATCATGTCCTTGAAAGAGACCCAACAGCACATCTTTGGCTGCCATGGCCCGTGCTAACTGTGAAATGCCCACGGAGCACGACCATGTCTGGCCCACACCCCAGACGCCCTGGCCAGCAGATGCTCCCATAATTGGAACATTAGGCCCTGGCACAACCAGCTGTTGAGGTCAGGGGGCCACACAGAGGGCACAGATGTGAGGACTGAGGGGCAAGGAGTGGCAGCAGCCAGGATCTAAAGCCGGGGATCAGAGGTGGAGGCCGGATAAGTGACACGCGGTCCTGGTGAGAGTTTTCTCAGTGATGTCCCCATGCCAGATGTGCATGAAGCTCACAAGAGGACAAAGCTGTAGTGAGGGCAAGGCCTTCCTTCCGAATCTGCCTAGAAGAACCCAGATTTATGTTGTGGTCTCCTCTGCTGTGATTCATAGACGAGTGTCAGAGCAAGGGCCCGGTGTCTCTCAGCACCCCCAGCTATGAGTGGCCAAGCTGGAATCTGGAACAGAGAGTTCACAGGACTGTCTGCTGCTGTCTCAGGGATGGCAAAAGTCACTGGGACTACTTTCCGGTGTGTCTGCCAAGTGCCTTGCCCAGGATTCCCAAGGATCTACCTGTCACAAGCCTGGAAACTCTCCCAGTCCTTCATTCTGCCCCCAATTTCGTCTTCTTATGAGGCCAGAACATCAAGAAAGCCCAGAACAAGATCTCCGGGACCCCAGGACCTATAAAGACCACCCCTCATCTATGAAGACTGACCACCTTTAGACAGGACAGGAGGTGGGCTCACAAGAGGGTCCCTAGGTTTTCTGGTGGAGGACAGAAACTTATGTCCCCACCACAGACACAGAACATGTGTAGTTCAGCAGTTCACGTTGGTGGCAACGGAAGCCTTTGCTCCTGCCCCCTCCTGGCGCCCAACGTTCGTGTTACAAATTCATGAAAAAGCTGTTTGCCTGTGGCCTTGAGCTCAGGCCCAAGCTACACTCAGCCGGTGGTGGTGGTGGTGGTGCACACCAGTAGGATTTGCTGAAGGAGACAGAGGCAGGAGGATCCTGAGTTTGAGGCCGGCCTAAGAGGCTTGGGAGAA